TAAAAACTACCCGAACTGTAGGACGACAATCGCAACATACATTCGAATAGATTCACTCAATGAAGCAGCATTGCAACACTTGGGCAGTATCGACTACCCAAATTGATCGCCAATGATCTAGTTTTTATTTCACTTGTTTAAATAGTTTTAGTTTAAGTTATGTGTAAATAAATATCTACTTAAAAACCATACACTATTGTGGTTTTAATCAACAATACAACAACATCAAACAAACACAAGCATCGTTTTATGGTCCTTCGAGCAACAATTTAACAACAATTACCAAACAATAAACATAGTCAACTCCATATTATATGGAAAATTGACTATATCTCAAAAACTGTTCTACTTTTTTAACTTTTGGCGACATTTTCGAATTCAGGGGACAATTTTACATGAAAATTGACTGCTAAATGTTTGGGATACAAATCGCTATGACAATTAGTCATTTTCGACTAATTCATTTTTAGAGAGTAGGGTTCCAATTTTTGAAATATTTAACTTATATATAATAATTAAAATAAAAAACTGGCAACACTGTGTTTCTGATAGGCCTAAATATTACACAGCTTAAAAACTTAAAAGCTTAAAAAGTAGTTTTCAAGATATTAAGCATATTAATTTTAAAAAATGGCAACACTGTATTTCTGATGGGCCAACATATTAAACATCCCAAAAAGCTTGCTATAGAAATGCATACTTTACATAAGGCATTTAATATGGCTGACATGTTTTTTTAACAGTTTTTTCAAGTATCAAGTTGAATGAATTTAAATTAGGCACGAGCTTGAGAGCGAGTCTTTAATAAAAATTAGTGCCTAGAAAAGTTTTTAAACGTTGCATACTATCCTTTTTTACGACAAATACTATTATAATTAATTTATATATTTGTATAATAATTTAAATAATTGTATAGAGCGACATCTATACAGAAATAGAGTAATCAAAATGGTGTTAGGTTGTCGAATTTTACTGTAAAAATCAATTTATTTTTCGAAAATGAACTGTTTAAATATATGAGCAGTTTTTCACAGTGAAAGTTAAAAGGTGCTTATAGATTGGCATCAAGAAACTATATAAACTATAAGATTTTTAAAAAATTTTAGTTTTACTTATGTTATATTTTTATTCTTAGGAATGTCAATGTTACAATTCAGATCTCATAAAAAATAACTATCTCATGATACACCGATAAATAACTATTACAACCGATTGTATAATATATTTAGGTGACTCATCAGGTGAAAAACTATTGTTTGATGATAGTTTATAAATAGCAAATAGTACCAACAGAGAGACTTAATAAACACAGATTATTTGACATCATCGCTCTACCAAATTGCGGCCTCACAATATTATGTTAATTATTGAATCACTATTTACTCTTTTAATTATGATATTGTTAGTTGAATGGCAAGGATTCAGGTAATAAACTATATACAATGTAACTTTTTTAAGACCAATAACATAATAAACATTTTATAGAGCCTACATTTTCCCCCTTTCCAATGGTAAACAGGAAAAGTCCTGGCTTACTTAAAGTTCTTGAAATATCCAAAAACTATTTTTGCTGAAAATTTACTGATATAGAAAAAGTTTTTTTTGTTTTTTTCTATATAATTCAAAAATAATTGCGCCAGTTTTTAAATGCCCACAAACCAATTTTTCGATATAAGAAGTAAAAAAAGAAGTAGATATAATATAAAATATATGAATTTAAAACAGCCAAATAATTTCCTTAAAAAATAAGAAAAACTAGATATGTTTCAAAAACACTAAAATAATGTCAAGAATTGTTTGCAAATGTTTTTTTAAATAAAAAAGTAATAAAAATAAATATAATTTCACATAAATAATAGTGTTACCTACTAACTAATTTTAAAATAGTAATGCACCGTTTTATTTTATTTTTATATACCTACTATTGTACGTGGGTGTATTAGATAATAGACCAAAATATAACAGCAAGGAAATTAAAGAAAATAAACAGAAAACTTTATTTTACTTCGACTAAAATTATTATAGTATAATAAATATTAAGTCTTATAAACCCTATTCTAGTTAAACTTCATCTAAATAAATTTGTAGGTGATGCATAAATTAATTTTTGGGCTGATATTTCATATGATTTTAAAATAGTTTACTTTATATCTATAGATATATCATATCAATTAGTAATTGACTTTCGACATGGTTTTGCTTTCATTTATAGAATAATATCTATGACTGAATAATATTATTTTAATAAAAAGTTTTTACTTATATTAATTACACCGGCCCACAAAATAAATATAGTTGGCTGAGTAATTCGTGTGCCCTAATTCCAAAAATGACCATCATTTTGCTCAATGAGCTCATTATCACAATAAGCTCATTAGCACATTTATAATATTTTTGCCTTAAAATATCTTGTTTTAGCGGATATAGGACCATTTTTCAAAACGATTTTATTTTGTTAAAAACATATCTACATCTTCGATAAAAATTTTTGATAATAAAAAAAAAACAATAATTTTGGTGTTGAATCAGAGCACCAAAATTAAAAAACAATTGCTGTCGACCAGTATTACCAACATGAGGTAAAGTCAATATTAATAAATGTTATTTTAATATGAATCTAAAATAGTTAACAAAAAAAAACGACATAAAAACAGCTGTTAACTGTTGTTTTTAGTACAAGTTCAAGTATTTTTATTTTGTCGACATTTTTTTATGAATAGAGTGTTGTTTCCCAAAGAGAATAAAGTAAAAAGGAAAGGCGGAAATTATATAAAAGGATAAAAATGGCATACCTATGCTTTGGTCTCGGGCACAAGATACGAACTCACAAAATATTAGATTTGAGGACACATTACGGCATCTAACAATATTTCTTTTTAAATCAAATATCTACGAAAATGCAATTCTGTTATGTGTATTTCTATACAGCAAATAAAACAAAAGTCAGAATTTTTTTAAATAACTAAAATAGGAAATTTTAAGCACGAACCTTAAAAAAGTATTGTAACCATTATACAGATGTATGCAGGTAAATTATTATTATTATTATTATTATTAAAGCAAATTAATTATAACTTGTTAAAAAATTATAAGTAGAAATATAATTATTTATGTACTTGTTTTATTGGCCAATTTAAATGTGTATTTTAGTCGATATATCATGGTTATCTGAGTCAGAAACACAGAGTTTAATTTTTCAGCCTTGGGCGGAATATAAACCAATTAAAAGTGATCCTGGGTCCCGAAAAATTTATGGGTTCAGCTTTAGAAACAATAAAAATTATAACGAATAAAAATGTTATTATTATTAACTGTGCCATGATGAGGTAATGGTTTATAATAGTTTTGTTGTGTTATGAAGACATTAAAAGGTCTCATGTAAATTAGATGAAAATTGATTTTTTCAAATCGTTTTTATGTGTAAGTATTGCGAAATCGGATGTTTTTATTGCAGGCTATGATTGTGAGCAGTTTATAAATGTTATGGGATAAAAAACTCCCCTTAAAGTTTGAGCCCTTAATTTTAATTTTAAGTACATTATTACACAGTATTTGCATTTACAATCACTTTTTTTTTAATTTCTATATCTTTGTCGGGGTTTAAGCTATCATATTGTGGTTTATGGTTACCCACTTACAGAGTATTTAACGATTTTTTAAAGATTCTTCAAGAATTTTGTTAAAAGTATTTTTTTTTACTTTTTTCACATATTTTTGAAAATATTAAGAGAATGGCTTGTCTTACCGAAAAATTAAGAAAAAGTTGTAGAAAATTTAATTCTGTAAATAAAAATTTGAAAAATTTGTTTTCTTAAGATTAATTTGTCTTAAATTTGATTCTATGACTATTAAATATCTTTGGTGATATAAACTTAAAAACTTTTTTTGTAGAGAATTAAATTTTCTTTTTTTATTTTAAAATTTTTTCGTAAGACATTCTTTTAAAAAGTGTTAAATACTCTGTAAGTAACAATGAACCTTATTATGATATTTTAGATATAGAAATTTAAAAAATACATGCATTTTAAATGGGGAAAGTTTAAACTGAAAAAGGAAGTACTTTTAAAAAAATAGGGCTTACCTAAACTATAATGAATTTTTTTTTTTTTGATGTTTTGAACAATATTTTGGAGTTTCGGTGAAAAATAGTCCTTTTAAATAAAACACACCAATGTACAGGGTTATCCCATATAATGTCGCCCCCCTTTAAATTTTTTATTTTACGTGTCCCAAAAAATTTAAAAGTGTGGTTATGTAGGTACTAAAAAATACTTTTTTTCTACGTATAAAGAAAATTGGAAAATTGATCAATATACAGAGAAAAACAAAAAGTTTATTTTTTGTTTAATGGATTACCCTATATATGTATTTATTTTTTGATTCCTTGTAAAATTTTAAGCATATTTCATATAACATACCATATACCTAAATTCAACCGTTTCTGAAATTTTTTTGATTTTCCCTGTATATTGATCAATTTTCCATTTTTTTATACATAGAAAAAAAGTATTTTTTAGTACAAACATAACCACACTTTTAAATTTTTTGGGATACTTAAAATAAAAAAGTTAAAGGGGGGCGAAATTATAGGGGATCACCCTGTACATACGCAGAAAAAACGCTTTTTGTTACATTACAACATATTTTTCCACATTTTTTTTCCAGTATATTTTTTAAGATGACATATGTAGGTTTGTGGAGAAAAAAGTACAACCCTTTGAAAAATAAAAAGTTAAAAATTTTGTAATTAATAATAATAATAATGGTAATTTTTTTTATTATTATTAAATAAAATAAAATATAACATTATTGCAACAAGAATTAAAATTTATTAAAGAAACAGAAACCAAATAAATATAGAAATTAAAATAAATATTTGAAATGAAAAATATTTTTCTTACTATAATTAATTAAAAATATACGATCTTGAAAAATTAAATTAAAATAAATAATTAATAATAAACAAAATAATAAGCAAAACAAATACAAAAAAATTTTACCTGAATTTTTAATAAGGCCGATGACCACAAGCAGGAACAAATTTGGGTTCTTCATATTTACACTGCTTTTCCAAACTTTTAAACTCGAATTAACCGAATATTTTACACATGTCTACGTCTGAAGACAAAAAACAATTAGTTAAGTTAAACCGTTCAGACTTTCACACTTTGTTACACAAATTTAATAAGGTGCATGGACACATGTTTCTATTAAACCTCAATAGAGTACACCAGTATAGAATGATGATAAATCATCTATAAATATCGGGCAGCAGTTTTAAAAATAAAATTATAATGCCGCGGATTTAAATAATTCTGCTTGCATGCGTTCAAAACAATAATTCTTCCGTACAACCTAAACATGAAGAGAGAGGCAAAAAGTCGCAAAAGTTTTCAGCTTTTCGAGCACACAACTTGCGACAGCGTACTGCTGAATATTCAGATTTTAAATGCGCTTTTTAAGCAGCCATTGATATGTTGGTGATTTTTTTTACTAGCTCGTTGGTGGGACTCGGCAAAATACATTGTGCATTAAGTAACGCTTGCCGAATAAGCTTTAATTTCAAAGTAAATAAGCCATTTAAAGCGATTAAGTTATCTTAAAATACCTACTATGAAGAACTACGCACTATTCTTGATATTTATAAATAGGCAAAAAGATAAGAAATTTAAATTTTTTAATTATTATACAGGATGTCTGGAAACTTGGATAAGTTAATTTAATAATAAGAAAATAAGTAAATATAATTCAATCGGTAAGATTAAGAACGGTACAATGTACAATGTACATACAAGTCCAAAAGTCAAAATTTTGACAAAATATTTAAAAAAAATCAGTTTTATAGTTCTAAATGCATTTTTGTGGGAATATTTTAACTATTTTATAAAATATAATGTTTATATTCTTCACAGAAAAAACGCTAGCATAGCATGAATGGGTGAGCCATTAAACCAATGGGATCTTATAATCCATATTCCTGAATAACAGTTCCTATAATACCAGGTATTAAGCAATTGGTTTATAATCGTTTACTGTTTTTAAATTAACAACAAAAGTTATCGCTCCTAAATCTATTGATATTCATATTGATATTTATTTGTTAGAATGCTAGAATGTTATTGCATTTAATACTAATTTGATTTATTTAATAACGTTACTATTGTATGTATACTATGTATACATTTAACGCAATAAATTCTTTGACATTTAGGCGAAATATTTCCCTACTTTGGTTTAATAGTAATTAATTGAGCAAATAACAATTTAGATTGCTTCAATTCAATTTTAATACATTCAATGACATCGCTGTTCTTGGTACTATGTTAGATTTTTTTATGTGTTCTCACAAAAATGTATTTTAAACTTTAAAATTGATTTTAAAAAATGACTTGTCAAAATTAAATTTTTGGACTTGTACTGTTCTTATTCTCACCGATTCAATTCAAGTTTGATATTTTTATACAGGGTGTTTCAGGAACATGAGCTATTGCTCGGCAAAAATAAAAAAAAAGTTTAAGACAGGGTTAAAAATTATTAAAAAAAGTCTGATAAACGCCATTTTAGACACGAATTTAATTTAGGCACAAGCGAGCTTGCGAGCGAGTGCTTAATTAAATGAGTGCATAAACGAGTTGCATACTATACTTTTTCTACGATAAATAATAAATATTATTTAAAAAATTCTTTAAATTAAAAATATATAAAAATATAAAGCGACATGTATACGAAAATAAAGTAACCATCCCAATAACATGCATTATATTGCCCGTCATTGATTTTAATTTTAACTTAACAATTATTGATACTTTAAAATATGATTAATCAAGAAAATATTTTATCTTTTGATTTTTTTTATTACTATAATTGCAAAATATTATCACAAAGTATTAAAAAATTCTTACATTTGTGACAGTTGTATTTATTGGAATTCCCGTTAGAATTTCTAACCTGGGAATGTACCGGCGTTAAAATCTCAAATTTTTCTGTGTAAATCAAAATTTATCCCTTGAAAATAGACTAACAATCTATAAAGAAGCAGTTTTTCACAGTAAAAGAGAAGAGAATGTTTAGTGGGCACTGTACGCAAAATTTTTAACGCTTTATCAGTTAAATCTACTTAACTGCACTACTACGGCATAATCAAAAGGTCAGTACAAACGCTCACGTAATCTTTTCAAATATTGGCGCTAAGAAATTATTTAATACTTTTGTATTTTGATATTGAGATAATAATATAATTTTCAACTTTAGTATTTTTTAACAAGAAAGATACTTTATTTTAACGATTGTATGTCGTTTGACAACTGTCAACTAACATAAAACTAAATTCAGCCCGTTACTAAAAACCTGTTGCTAACTTCAGCCCGTGACTAAAGCGCCATAAAGCCACAACTTGTCAATGTGAATTTAAAAGGTCACTTAGTGTCATGGTTTTTGTTAAAATGTAGCATTTATACTGATAAGAAGCTAATTTTGCTTTAACTAAATTAGAATTTTATCCAGTGGTTTCCCGGAATGCACCTTAATGAGTATTAATGACAAAAAAATGTACGCCACTGATTTTTTTGCAATTTTTGAATTGTTTTATAATTAGTCCATTAAAAATATAACTTTGTTGACTCTTGAGTTGTTTTGGAATCTTACCTCGTTTTGGACACAAAAAATAAAAACCATATTATATTCGGTTTATATTAATAATTATTGCAAAAAAATTGACAAAACGCATATGTTGCACCTTTATCCAGTTAAACAAAAACTACCTACTATTTTTTTTAATAAAGTCGTTTTAAAGAAAATTGACAAAACGTATAACGTTGCCATATTTCAACAAAATCGGGCAAAAAAAATTTAGGATATTTTAATGTTTAACCCCGTATTTTAAAAACTTTTCGGGCCTAAACTTTTTTCTTATTTTTGGCGTTTTTTGAAACACCCTGTTTAAAATGTCATTTCTCAAATTATAATTTATAGGGAGGTTAAAATATCACAGCTAAACGCTCAGACACGTAAACGTAATTTTTCGTCAACATTAAAAGGTATTTTTATTTTTAGTTTTGGAGAATCCCATTAAGAAACGCCCTGTATAAATAACAAAAAAATTAATTGGGCTGCTTCCACATCGGTTCCAAATTAAAACAGAGTTATAATAAAATATTATGTCCATTACCAAAATAATTTAAAAAATCATCACAAATCTGAATCGATGCATGTAAAATTAAAATTTTGAAAAGATCAAGTAGAGAATATTAAAAGGCATTTTTTTAATGAAAAGAAAAAACATAGGTTAACACGCTATCATCGGTTCTGCAATCCACTGCCTCAATTATATTATTTCCTTTTAATTTAATGTAAATAAAATAATTATTTTTGCATCAGCTGGAGGGTTTTGAAACAGTTTCTTTTTAATTAAAAAACAAACCACCTACAATGATATTTATTCGTATTTATTAGCAAATACCTCGAGGACTAACCATTAATAATGGATAATAGATAGTTACATATTTACCGTCTATGTGTTTAGGCTAATGTCAGCTTATAATCTGAAAACTATGATTACTACCATAAGCATAGGAAAAATTAATAGGTCTTAATATTCATGTAGGCAATCTCTAAATATCTCAATAGCAATGTTTTTCGTAAAGTATATTCGAAAAATGCAAATTGACGTGGGCAACTTAATGTGTGTAATAAAATACTGCTAGTTGATAGTTAATTCGAAAATATGTAAAAACTATAAATTAAAAAATATTTTTATTACTACACAGGTTTTTGTTTGATTGAGTAATATGATCGGGTAGGCACCGAGTGTGAAAACTAAATTTTACACAATGTATGCGTACTAAACAAATATGGTAATTTATTTAAATTGCTTCTTAATATTGTTATGGAGTGCATAAAAACGTTAATGGTATACATAAAACTTCAAAAAAAGTATAAAAGTCCCTTTGAGCAAAACATCAATTTTACGCAATAATATTTAAACGTCATTTAGTATGTATACTGTATACTTAAACTTAATCTATACATTTTCTTTAACATGACATTGTATGCGTAACACACTAAATACATATATATTTTTAAATAGTTGTAAATATTTGTTTATAAAATATGTAAGATTTGTGATTCATCCTGACATACAGTGTGACCCATTTGTTTGCGACTCACCCCTGTAAAATCTTTATTTGTGCGGTTTGAACCGGATTGTAGATCTTGATAAACTGTATTTTTAGAGCAAAAAACGCCATGTTTTTACAAAATAATTATATTAGCGATTTAAAAAAATCTATGCACAGCACTGGATTCACCATCCCTCAAAACGACCCTATACTAAATTTTATTGAAATTTTTAAAGTAGAAACGATTTTGTAGCCAAAAATGAACGATAATAACTATTTACAAAAATTTATTCTGTTAAATTATCCATGAAAAAAGCATAAACAGAAATAAAAAATGTTTTATTATTTCTATATATAACCTAAAATAGGTTATTTATAGAAAATAAAAATAAATAAAATAAAATTTTAATTCAACAGCAATTCAATTAGTTAATTTAATTTATTGATATTGATAACTAAAATTTATCATATATTATTTTACGAGAACTATGAAGTTTTAAATTAAAATGGATTAAACTATAGTTGCTGTTGAATTAAAATTATATTTTAAAATAAAATTTTAATTCAACAGCAATTAAATTAATTAATTTTATTTATTGATATAATTGAAAATAATTATTTATTTTTTATTTTCTATAAATAACCAATTTTAGATTTTTTTATTAAAATAAAAATAATAATAAAACATTTTGGTTTTTCTTGGAAAATGTTAAAAGCAAAATAAATTATTTTAAATAAAATCACGAGACAGTGTAGCGGTCGAGGGGTTTTATTTTTAATTATTTTGCATAAAACTATTTTCCAAAAATAAAAATCAAATAAAAAACTTACTGTGCATAGTTTAGATTAAATTTATAGGTTGAGTGATATACGTCTAGATTATTTCTCGAATTAAAGGAAATTTTTTGACAATTAATACAATCTGAAGCATATGTCAAAATTTATGAACAATTTTTTAAACAAAATTTAGTTAATTTAAAGGTGTGTAATAATTAATAATTG